CCACCCACATCCCTCTGATCAGCATGTGGTACATTATATTACTATAATTAAAAATCTTTTTGGAAAATTAACAGTTTCTTACAAACTTATGTGCTTTGATAAAATACACAGTTACAACTTCTGTGGGGTGTGAAGAAAAAGTAATGTTACTAGTAGTGTAACTAATTACTGTTGCCGGAAAGTAATAAGTAACAATATTACTTTTGAAAGGAGTACCTAGTAATGAGTAATTTATTACATTCTTTGAGTAACTAGCCCAACACTGATTGTCACACCCTTAGTGTCTATGAGCGTGATAAAGCTCATAATTTTCCAAGTGTATGATATAGCTTTCATTCTTCAAGTCAATCATATATTCATGAAAAAAACATCAGTTTGAATAAGGAAAACGATAACTTTGCCATAGTATCCTTTCAAATATTATAGTTGCCACAGTCATTGCATTCTTTGCATGTGCTGCACTTTATTTGTACCATTTTGTTTTATTAGTTTATTTATTAGAATTTGAAAGATAATAACAATATTGATTAATAAGTGAGATCTGATTTTAGTCCTTGAAAACCAAAAAAGAAGTGCAAGGACCATTTGGACCATTTTAATGTTTTTGTTGTTGTTATTTGAACTGAACTGTAGTTTTCTGTAGTAAACTTTCTTTGTATATTTTCTATTTAATATTCATTTCCTAGTATTTAATTTACCATTATTTCTTTTGAACAAAACAATTTCAGAAATGTCCTGTTTTAGATTGTAGGTCATCTTGTACGCTGTCAAGGACAAAGCTAACCAGCAAAACTTGATATCAAAAGCATCCTAAATGTTACATGTGTTTGCACCATATTGTAGTGAGTAACCTTTCTTGGTATTGCTGTTTCAAATATCCCACCATAATCTGTAGTCTGGGCCTGTCAAGGGCTAATGGCAATGGCAGATACGTTACTAATTAGTTTAAAGGAAAATCATTTTCTTGTTTTGTTTGCCAAATAACCCTGTGTATGTGTCCGCCCCCGCAACCCCCAAGCTCTGGAAAAAAGTTCATGCTCAGGATTTTTTTTTGCTTTAACCCCTGCCAAAGGTCGCAGGTTCGAGTCTCGGTAGTCAGTACCGGCAGGGATTGTAGGTGGTGGGAGTGAATGACCAGCGCTCTCTTCCTCCTTCAATACCATGACTGAGGTGAGACCCTTGAGCAAGGCACCGAACCCACAACTGCTCCCCGGGCGCCGCAGCAAAAATGGCTACCCAAAAATGGCTCAGGGTGTGTGTGTGTGTGTGTGTGTTTGTTCACTATTCACTGCTGTGTGTGTGTGCACTTGGATGGGTGAAATCCAGATTCCGAGTATGGGTGTCACCAGGGGCGGTTCCGAGGGTTAGCCCAGAGACATCCATGTATGTGTCACGCTTATATATATATATATATTTACATTGAGTAAGTGGCTTTAAAAAAAAGCCAAGTATAAGCCTAATTAAACATGCAGGGTTCTATACACTTCTTTATTTATTTCTAACACTTGCACATTACACTGCACTTACAAATTGCATAAATAATATTATGAGATTAATGTTTTAAATATAAAAACGGCTATATAGAAATAAAATGCTAGAAAAAATTGAATAATACTTTTAAATGTGAAACTAAAATTACCAGTAGGTGGCAGCAAACCACTGTCCTAATAAGTGAGTCACTGAGTCATTTATTCAATGGATTCTTTCAAAACGACTGATTCATTCAGGAAAGAAGTAAGAAGGTTTTTATGAATGGATCAGTGAATCATTGAATCTCCCGATTTGTTCAAAAACACAAATTCATTCAGTAAGGAACACCGCTGTGCGCTGCTGCAGAGACGCTCAACATGGCTTTGTTTGGAACCATTTTCTTTAGTGAAATAGAGCAAAAAAGACAATATTGTCTCTACAATTTAAATAACGTACTATTTATATTTTGTTCATTGAATTGTTGCCCTGACACGAAGAAAAGTCTGCCACAGACCATGCTAACCAAACCGTTTATATGATCGCTCTAAATGCGTGTGTCCTAGGAAGACATGGCAGCATATAATTATATGATTAAATATCTATATTTGTTGCTTTACAGTGACAGTGTTAAATAAAAAATTATTGTTTATTGAATTCAATGTCACATTTGTAATCATGGTAATTTTTGGAGAAAAACGGCACTCTTCGTGTGAAATTGAATAACTATATGAAGTGGTATAAATATATACATTTTCTGCCATCATGTCTTGAATTTGTGATCATTCTAGATGCATTTTAATAGACTGAATCATGCAGTGAAAGAAAACACAGTAAATGCGCACACGCACTAGTCTAGACTTCACGTAATGTATGCGTGCGCTCTGTAGGGATGTTTTGAATGGTTTTTGCAAAATACTCGATAATGTCAAATCGCACATCGTTAAAACAACAATTACGATATTATCGCAGACGATAAATATCGCACACCCCTAACTGCACTTACAAATTGCATAAATAATATTATGAGATTAATGTTTTAAATATAAAAACGGCTATATAGAAATAAAATGCTAGAAAAAATTGAATAATACTTTTAAATGTGAAACTAAAATTACCAGTAGGTGGCAGCAAACCACTGTCCTAATAAGTGAGTCACTGAGTCATTTATTCAATGGATTCTTTCAAAACGACTGATTCATTCAGGAAAGAAGTAAGAAAGTTTTTATGAATGGATCAGTGAATCATTGAATCTCCCGATTTGTTCAAAAACACAAATTCATTCAGTAAGGAACACCGCTGTGCGCTGCTGCAGAGACGCTCAACATGGCTTTGTTTGGAACCATTTTCTTTAGTGAAATAGAGCAAAAAAGACAATATTGTCTCTACAATTTAAATAACGTACTATTTATATTTTGTTCATTGAATTGTTGCCCTGACACGAAGAAAAGTCTGCCACAGACCATGCTAACCAAACCGTTTATATGATCGCTCTAAATGCGTGTGTCCTAGGAAGACATGGCAGCATATA